TTCAAAAGTCAAATATAGAATAAATGCATTTGATTGGTAAACCAAATTCAGACTTTACGTTTCAATCTCAAATGGTAATGCATGGAATTTACGGAAAAGCTCAACTAAATAACAGTGCTAATAACTGGGGGGCGTGGTGGCTTTGGCGATCCAGTCAATCTACTCCACAGCCAATCACGGGCCCCATCCTTGCTCGGGCCCCGGGGCTTCAGCCCCGCCTAGCCCAATGGTTAAAACGGCCCTGGTTGTCGCGGCAACCAACAGGAAAGCTTCCTTAAGAATTAAAGCATGAATCACTTACATAATGTAAATGAGAGCCAGTGCTGATAAAGAAAGAAGAGAGGGATAAAAGACAAAAGAGTGCCGATTTATTCCTTAAAGGCAATACCTTATTTTGAGATTTTGGTGTGGTTGAGAACTAACCAAATTACAAAAGAACCTCAGCCACATACAGTCAAACAAAAATGTATTCAGACACCTTCAACATTTCACACATTATCAGTTTATTCGCTATAGTTTAGAAAATGGTAATAAAATCTGGCAAGAACTCAGAGCTAAACTGTCAGAACAAATTCATCTTGATAATGTCAGATAACACTTAAGCAAAACATGGTCAGGTCAAAGTGTGAATAATTTTTGGTAACAATTTTTTTTATTAATTTCCTCCACTGTATGACAAATTTTTGGGTATAGGCCTAATATGTCAGTTTATTTTGCTATCTTCACTTACATAAATGAACTATAGTGTCCTGCACCCACTAGTAAAAAAATCTGAATAACTTTTGGTTTGTATGTAACATACATAAAAATCATTAACCGGTTGTTTACTTTTACTTTCAGTCAATACACATATATTTGTACCTGGTTTAGACAATTAAAGAAAGCATATACAAATTTAACGGATGAAACGGAATGAATAAAATATGAAGTTCAAAGGAAGTGCTTTGATTGCAAGCTTTGTGTTTGCTTTTTACTACCGCCTTTTTTCCCCCTCCACAGGCGCTGTCTGAAAAAGAAGAGAACAAAAATGTCGTGTTTCTAAAGGTGGATGTGGATGATGCACAGGTTAGTCACCTGGTGTCTTTTTTCACTTATGAATGCACTCGAAAGTCTACAGACTACTGAGCCAAATGAGCAGAACACCCTTTTACATAGATTCACCATCTGGGTTGTACTGTTACTTTCATTTGAATACATGGCCTCCCTATCTCCCTCCCATAGACAAGGATGTCTGGTGTAGTATAATGTATTTGGATACTCACAGACAGCCTAACCTTTTGTAAGTGATCCAAACACATTGGAACATCCCAGCACACCCGGTTGCTGTTCTCCTGATCGGCTTGCTGATAGTGTGTTATTTGATTCACGGGATAGCGCTCAGAAAGGATATTGGCGGTCATTCAGTTTTATCAGAGGTAGATCGAGACAGTGCCAGAGTGGGACAATTCTGATGGTTGCCCATGTTGTTATGGTTACAAACACTAGATATTATTACAATGCTGTGTTGCAAAGCAGATGGGGGACAGGACGTGTGTGTATTTGAAAGCTGAATTCTTGATACATGTTTGCGATTTGTTGAAATGTCATGCTTTTTGCCTGACATTTAAATCGCAAGGTAAGGATGGCAAATGTGAGCAGAGTGTTTGAAGGTTCTGGTAACAGTGCACATATCCAGTGGACCTTTTTGTGACTGAATTCAGGAATGGTGCAAAACATAATTTAAGATGAAATGAATATGAAACTAATTATTTTTCTAAATATATCAGGGATTTTTTAATTTCGACAGCCTTCGAGTCCTGTCATGGATGTAATTTCAGCCCTCTCTTACAAAAGTGCTCAGACTGGCTAAGCAAAATGAAAAGACACTATTAAATATGTTTAACATCCCACCGCAGACTAAACCTAATCAGACCTGATCTCCACTCCCTCTTTCTCTTATCTAGGATGTGGCCTCTTTCTGTGAAATCAAATGTATGCCAACATTCCAGTTCTACAAGCATGGAAAGAAGGTAAAACATCTTTTGTCCTATTTCCATGATCTTCTGAGGAACTATTTTTTATTAGCTGTTTTTGGCAGTTTAAAGGGTTAGTTCACCCAAAAATGAAAATTAGCCCATAAATTACTCACCCTCAAGTCATCCTAGGTGTATATGACTTTCTTCTTTCAGACGAATCCAGTCCGAGTTATATAAAAAATTGTCTTTGATCTTTCAAGCTGTTTCATGGCACTCAGCGGGTGTTGCATGCTTCAGTCCAAAAGCAGTTAAATAAAAAGCGCCCATCCATAAAAAAAAGTGTCTCACACGGCTCCGGGGGGTGAACAAAGGCCTTCTGTAGCGAATCGATGCGTTTTTGTAAGAAAAATATCCATATTCAAAACATAATATTCACTTTAATGTAGCCTCACTGGCGCATGCACAGCACTGACCTCATACGTCATCCGCCCGGAACTTTTTTCAGTGTTCAACAGTGAGCGCAAGCTACATTAAAGTGATTATTACGTTTTGAATATGGATATTTTTCTTACAAAAACGCATCGATTCACTACAGAAGGCCTTTGTTCACCCCCCGGAGCCGTGTGAGACACTTTTTTTTATGGATGGGCGCTTTTTATTTAACTGCTTTTGGACTGAAGCATGCAACACCCGCTGAGTGCCATGAAACAGCTTGAAAGATCAAAGACAATTTTTAATATAACTCCGACTGGATTCGTCTGAAAGAAGAAAGTCATATACACCTAGGATGACTTGAGGGTGAGTAATTTATGGGCTAATTTTCATTTTTGGGTGAACTAACCCTTTAACCTGTTGTGCTGTAACTGATTCAACAATTGTTTTTCAGATTGATGAATTTTCTGGATCAAATCAATCTAACCTGGAGGAGAAGATCAGTATGCATAAATGAAGAAAAACACACAAACCAACCACTGTAATAAGTAATATACGCAGATTTTGTTTTTTGATCTTGATGTCAGAAATCTCTAGTCTAGTACAGAAACATCATTCTCAACTCGTTCTAATTTTATCTGCTACATTTATATCCTATTTTATTCTAGTTTACATATAGAAACAGAAAACCTTTTGTTAAATATTTTGGCCCTCTATAATGGCATTTTATGTTTGTATGAAATAAAAACTTTAAAGGAAATGAAAAGTTGACTTTTACAAAATTCTTGTATTGTACTGGTTGTATCAAATTGTTCAGGTCAAATGTTTATTAGTCATATGAGACAGGCAAGTAGAACAAACTGAAAGTTTAATTGAAAATGCGTCATAATTAACTAGGAATGAGAATTACAGTTGGTTTTCATATAGTAGTGTTTTCTGTTTTAATAAACATGAAAAGAATAGTTTATATACATGTACACTGGACAATCACATCAACATTTTTACACATAGTTCATGTATATAGCAGCAGCATATATTTAATACTGTTTCATTTTCTACATGAAAAAATACAGCTTTAATTTACAAAACCACTTAGAACTTTCTGAGGGAAAGAGAAAATGTGTTGTATACAAAATTCTGATATTAAGCCATCTTGTTCCAACACATTCGGACTCGAACTCTTGTAGTGTGGCACATTAAAAATATAAGTATCCAGATCTTCTTTTTCTGAAAGACAATAATTAATAATCAAAGATCAGCTGAAGACCATTAAATATCCTTTTTGATCCAAATATTACCAGCATAACTAAATAAAATTCAAACATTTATGATAGTACTTTCTTGAGGCATTGGTGCATTTTGCTTGTACAGTTCAGACAGATGGACAATGAAAATGTATAAGCTCATTTGATTCTTAAATCGACCAAGTGTCCAGTAAATCTAATTGTGAATCGCTCTAACCGGCAATGAAGGCTGCAGCATGTAATTAGCTGAGGGATGCAGATATCAAGTTGACTAGCTGGAAATGTTTTTAGTAAAACTGTCAGATCAATAGTACTTTACTGAGAGACCGTATTTGCTCAATAAAATCTTGACATTGGTACTGAATCAGTGAAAAACAAAGCGAACTACTTAAAAGAAAGAATCACAATAGAAATGGCCGCAGCAGTATCTATTTCCTATCCTTATGCCATCTCAGAGATTGGATTGAAACAAACTGCAGTGCCCTGGGAAATGTGTTTACTGTAAGAGATATGCCATCATGAAAATAGGCGTGTCTGAGCCTGAGGCATGAATTCACATACTGACACGGCAGAGTTCAGAGAAGGCTGGTTCTCATTTTTATTTCCCAATAGTTTCACTACTCGTCTTTTACAATCAACAACAATCTCCCAGCTGAGTAATTTAGTGTTTCTTGTACAATACGCTGACAATCTGTTGAGGACTGTGAAATGTTTCAAAATGTTCTATTTCATGTGATGTATGCACATTGTTGTATTAAAAAATTCAACGAGTAATGTTCAATCTTCTGGCCAATCCCCACACATTAGGAATCTGAATGAAACATGTGAACTGGAAATTCCATTCGATGATCTGCTTGTAGAGTCCTTACAGCGAAGACACGACAAGGCCGCCAAAAAGAAGAATAAGATGGAGCAAAGAGACAGGAGACGACAGAGACCAAGAGAAGAAGGATCTCATCACCACCGCTAAAGATCTGATTCGGTTCATTCATCAACATGAGCATATATAAGCGATTAATGAAACGGGTGAAACAATTCATTGAAATTAATGATTTTGACTTGGAAATGAGAACTTTGGCAGGCGAGGTTGATCTTTTGAGACTTCAAAAAGTCAGCGCCGTTTCCAAAGAATAGAAACATAAGGGGGAGGGGGAGGGGCAGCTAGGCAGTTTAACTGACATCCTGTTAGAGAACATCCTGTCAAAGCGACATAGCTAACAGGTGTCGCTATATTTTGGTTGACAACTGTTAAGATGGAAAATGCTTATATATGTGCGTGTGCTTCAATTACGCTTTCAAAAGGTGTTGCTATTATAACCTGAAGAACTGTGCAGCTGTAAGTAGGATAAAGGTTAGGCTTCCTGTATTTGTGTTTAGATAAACATCACAATGACGACCTCCTCATATATTTTGGAGGCTGTGTATGTGTGTGTAAAAGCTCTGCTTAGCTGACGTAACTATGGCAACCCAAGACCCACTGTAGAGGAAAAGGGTGTGTCTTAATTTTGAGCTTAATTTTTGTGTCTCCAATAAGGGAATACTTTGCTGAATATTTTGTTGAAGAGAAATATTATACCCGCCTCCTCCATATATAATGGAATGCTTTCATTAGAATTGTGGCGCATCTCGGGTGAAGACTATACTCGCTGTTATTTTTTATTTATAAAGCGAAACCATTTCGTATGGTGATGCGTTTAAACCTCTCTTAAAACAAGACTCGGAGTGATTTATTATTAGTAATTTATTATCTGAACCTGAAAAAGACTTCTGGAGAGCCCTAAACTGTCCGGACTTGACTGAGTGAGCACGGACATCGTTGCAGGATTTCTGAGACCTCTGATGACATGTCCATATGTTAATATGAACATGTCAAATATACCTAGTTTGTGTGTGGCTTACCTAGAGCAGTCATATCCTCCCCATCCTTGACTGCAGTGACACCTGTTGGGTCGGATACACCGGCCTCCATTCAAACAGGACGTGGAACACACCGCTAAGAACACATAAAAAAATCAACCAATCATTCACCACTAATTCAGTGCATATTTACTGTCTCTTTCTAATAAAAAAAAGGAGAGGAACCACATTCTTTCTTTAACACATACGTTCACACAGTCTGTTTTGGAGCACAACCAGAAAGGTTCTTAAAAGGGAACATTTATCCCCTTGTAATTTCAGAGGAATCAATCATTTCCAGGATTCCTCTTTGCCCTACAGACCTTTGTCCCGACAGACACCTCGTATGAATCAACACTGGTCAAGACCGATAAAACACAAAGAGTCTGAACACAACCGCAGAATGAAAACCAGCAAGTAATCAGTAAAACCTGTAGACCAAACACTGCAGGTAACATATAGTAAATACTGTACTTGAGTCTGCAAAAGCAAATCAAGTTTGCTTTAATGTATCTGAGCAACTCAGCAAGTACTGTAGGTTTGTTTGTCTTGGTACTGCAGCTTTAGAGACCATTAAATGCATGGACTTACAGTCCTGCTGGTGGTGGTCTCAATACATCTAATAATGTTTCATTGGGAAATGTAAAAATATGATGTGTGTGGTATTGTAAATGAGTTCTTGTTCTTTACAAGTCATTCAATATTTCATTGAAATTCATAATTTTTATTCACCTGTTAGATGTTTTGCAGTTTACTTAAAGCTGCAGTCCATAACTTTTTGGTTAAAAATGATCCGAAATCAATATTTGAGCAAGTACATAACCAGCCAGTTACTTTACTGCCCTTACTTTAGCCCGATTCACAACGGTTAGCTTATAATGATGTTTTCTAATTTGAGTGGTACGGGTAGGTTTACACAGGAAATTCGAGCATGCCGCTGCGTCATTACGTCACTTCTGTAAACATAAAGAAGTTGTCCTAGCTACTAGGCTATCCCATGCGAGGATCCTGCAGTTGGCCGATCGTTTATAGCCTTTTCTCACAGCAGCCAGAATAATTAAATGTATCATTTTGATGGCGGATTGTAATCCATAAAGGATTATGTGTTTATGAAACACATGTGAATGAAATTAAATTATATTCCAGATATAAATGTGCTTCTGAATACAGATAGCCTGGGATTACAAAGATTTGTATTTTAAAGAAAACCAGTTCGAAGGGAGCATAATTTGCTTTTTGGGTTAAAAGAATTTCTTAATATGAAATTCGAAGAGTATGACAATTAGATTAGACTGCAGAAATTGAAATCTACAGGCTAATACACACTATACTCATAGTCACCAATGCTGATGTTCCTTCTGTCTGTAATCACTCTAATCACTTCACTCCCCTGCACTCCACCCTACTTTTAAACTCTAAAATGTAATTTGTTTAGCATGATGTCTGGTGAGAGATATTTCCCTAAATAGCACCTTTTATAGTTGAACTAAGACTTATACTAACCTCCAAGATTATAGATAGTTTAAATGGCAGATGTTCGCTAGACTTAATAAATCGGCTATAATTAAATGCTGTGAGGTTATCACTAATTTCAGATGTTTCATTCATCTCAGCTTGTCAGGACTTAATAAAGCAGCTGATGTTCCTACTTCCTCAGTGTTGTAGATTTGTTATTTAATTACTCACTCGTTAGAGGCTGCACTGACTAGTTACCTAGTTCTGCTACTAAACATAATTTATGTAATACATTTTCTTGATGACTATCACAAGTCATCATACACAAACACTCACTCTTACCATTATGGCAGCGTGTGCCTGTCCATCCTGTTGGACATTCACACTGGTATGGAGCTACGCAGTGTCCTCCATTGAGACATGGTAGGATGCAGATCGCTGCAGGAAAAAGCACATGCAGTATGAAACTGTGTGACATTTGGGTTGAAGAGACATTGGAAAAAGCAGAATAATCTGTGTTAAGTCAGCTTTTTAAAAGCAATTTTTCAACTTCAGTATGAGACAAAATGTTGTTTAAACCTCTTGGTCTCTTTCTATTTCCCAAACATTCATGCATGTATAGACACCACACCCAACAGTTTTGGAAGCCACAGAGAGAAATGCAGCTTTGTGTGTGGGGTGATTGTTAATGAGCAATACTTTGTAAGAAACTAATGTGATGCATGCTATTATTGATCCATGAAATGGTGCCTTAAGTAATGGACTGCTGTCATTTGGAAATATTAATAATCTCTGTTTATGAGTGCTGCTGTTGTTATCGCACATGTTTGTGAGTGTACTTACGCTCCTCGCAAAATCGGCCCATCCATCCATCTGGACAGGAGCAAGTGTTTGGTCTTTGGCACACACCTCCGTTCTGGCACTGGAGCCAACAGACAGCTGTACAAACACACAAAACATGATTGATGAAACGGACACAATCACAACAAATAGCAGTACAATCATTGTCCTAACAGAATTCTAAATTACCATATAAAGACATGCAGCATTCAAAGAAGAGCCAGCTGTTAGACGTTAAGACCAGTGGGAAATTGGACTGATCAGAATTAGTTTCCGCAAGCACACAAACCAAACAAGCCAACGACTCCGAGACTGAAAGTGTCTTGGAATGTAATGTACAATGTTAAAACATGCCAAAAATATTAACCAAAAAAATCATGTCTTGTTGAAAAGAGTGGCATCCACACTAAAGCCCATCTCTATCATCTCTGTGGGACAATGATTTTGTTCAATAGCTATTATAAAACAAATTCTGGTCCTGGATTGGTTAATATAACGTTCTAGCTATGCTAAAATATGCAATAAATAACATATTTGACATTAAGTAACTGTTAGCTGCATATCGCTGCATAGCACCCAAAGAGAACACTCCATTAATGTTTATTTGTAAGGGACTATAGAGTACTATAACTTAATGACATAATTAAAAACTATTATTGTTAAATTATTGAAATTAATTATAAAATTATATTTTATATTTTATAAGGAGCTTGAGGGGCAGTACTATAACTGAAGGCAAAGTCTTATTTCTCATACTACCGTTCAAATGTTTGGGCTCAGTAAAAAAAAAAAAAGTGACAGTAAAAACATTTTCAATGTTACAAAAAATGTTTTTCAAACAAATTCTGTTATTTTGAACTTTCTACAGTATTCATCAAAGAATTCATGAAAAAACTGCATCAGTTTCCACAAAAAATATTAAGGAGCACAACCGTTTCCATTTCCAACACTGATAATAAGAAACGTTTCTTGAGCACCAAACTGAAATCTTTAGAATGATTTCTGAAGGATCCTGTGACACTGAATGGCTGCTATAAATGTAAAATGAATATACAAAAATATTTCGCAACATTACTGTTTTACTGTATTTTGAAATCAAATAAAATCAGCCCTATAAGCATAAGACTTTTTTCAATGAAATACAAAATTCTTACTGACCCCAAACTTGAACGGTAGCGTAGGTCAACACCTTAAATATGGTCTATTTACAATATTGTACAGAAAGGGTATGGAACAAAAATGTGCACATATGGCTAGTTAATCTGAAGCCATTAACTAGCAGTGTGGCCTAATACCATTATCTAAAGTGCTCAGTGCTTGTGTTTACATGTGTAAATGTGCAAGACCAGCCAAAAGGAGTCACAAGATTTTGCAAAAGATGAAGAAAAAGGCTGAAGTCAGAACTCCAAGTGGGATTTAAGGGCAGTTCCTTGTGCTACCTTTGCAGGTAGGGGGTGGGGTCCAAGTGCCATTCTCCAAGCACACACTCCTGCTAGAACCCTCCATGGTGTAGCCTGCGTAACATGAGTACACCACCACATCTCCAAACTGGAACACTGCCCCACGGACTACCCCATTTGCCACGTACATTGGTGGGCCGCAGGACACCCCTGTGTGTGATTAAAATGGACCGGACCAGTAAATTAGAAAGGAAGATACTCAGCATGGCTGAGCAGTCCATTGAAGAACTAAAGGCCTTTGGGCCTTTCAAGATTGGTTATGAAATGGCATTTTCATGCTCTCTCATTTCAATCTTAGTTTAAAAAAATTTCCCACATTACTTTTGTGTAACAGGAAATCTAATTAGTGTTGGGAACATACAAACAAAACAGGAGATGGTGCACGAGAAATGCACATTTGAGAAATAATATTATTATATCCTCCCATATCTGAAAATAGTAATGTTACAAGCAGTGAGTGAAATTCAGCAGGTGTCTCACAGAGAGAAAAGTGAATATATACACATACTGACAGGATCAGATTTTAAAAAATAACCGGATGAACGGGTTGAAAAGATTGTAAAAGATAAAAAGGAGTCAATAAATATGCATACATGCCACCACATAAATTTAAAACTACACATATCATACTGCGGAGCTATCATGCAAAATGCCCAAGGATCAAAATATCACAGATTATACAACACAACAAAGGAGAATTAACTAACTATGAGAGAGCAGGCTTCTAATATTTTGAATAACATGCAGAAGTAACACGGACAGAAGAAAATACAAGTGGAAATTTGCAACAAAACACAGATAGTGTATTATAGAGATACCATGCAATAAGAAAAGCAGCACTAATTGTGATGCTGCAGCCTGAATGAGGAACAAAAGATATTGGTCAAACTTACTCCTCAAGCTGCTGTAATCAGCAGCTGTGCTTGAGTCAGAACGATTACATGTAGTGGAAGTGCATAGGCTCAAAGTCCAGAGTGTCTTAACCTACTACAACTTAACAAATTTCCAGCTCACCAAATCAGGAAGTCAATTTGCTTTCTATTTTGTTTATATGCAAGTTGTGCGTACTGTATGAGGTTTAGTAGAACGACATAGGATACATGGGATAGAGAAGTGCAGAAGAGAGAAGCTAAAATATGCTTTGAAATATGACCCAAAGACAAAGAAAATGTATTATAGATATTCTCTCTGTACTGATGATGAAGATGCCAAAAACAATTTGAAATTAACTTGGGAATAAATTCTCCTGACATTTTGGTGCAAAATGCTTTTGGGGCTATAAAATCATATTAACATGAATTTTTTGCTGTGAGATTTTTTTTTTATCATGTAAAGCCACTGAAAAATACAGTAACGTTGGAAATAACGAATGTTTGTACTCACTCTCACACACTGCACTGATGGGGGCCCAGATCTGATCACTCCTGCAAGTTAAGGTGGCGATACTTTTTCCCTGGTTACCTTTGACCCGCTGACCTTTAGGACAACTGACTGATACCGACTGGCCTACCAGGAAAACCATCTGAGTAGCGTTGACACTACCTCCAGTCCAGTCAGGAGGAGGGGGGCATGATTTGGCTGTGGGGGGATAAGATTTGAGTCATGTACTGTATCTTCAAGCGATTTTATCTGATATTGTGAATGGCTTTGCTGACTAACAAAAAAAAATCAGATCAACAATGAAGCAATTAGTTCTTAGAAATGTGACGTTAAGTTTGTGTGTTCCTTGTTGGAAAAACAGGTATTCTGCAACGCTCTCATTGATAAGGCCTAACAAAAGTCTTTTACCAATTTGGTTGTGAAATTACTTATCCAAAATGATCTGTTTTGCAAAATCTTGCGAACTAAAAACATCAATAAGTCAATAAGTCATCAAACAGTGTATTGCAAAAACCATAGTGCTTGACATACGTATACAGACAGGGAAAGGTGAACTCCAGGAGCCGTTTCCCACACACATGATGAGAGAC